TAAAGGCACTTCCTAGTTGCCTGATCATCGGTAAGTAAGCCTCAGTTTACTCATATGTTAAGTGGACCTGATAACAGCACCCACTTATTAGGTTGTTGAGGGGAGTCAGAAAAGTTAAAGTTTGGGAGACATCTAACACAGTGTCGAAGGGTCCAATGAATGGAGCGTCTATAAATATCATACGGAGGTAAGGGGCATTACAGAGGCCAGTTGGGTACAGATCGAAGACCACGAGTGTCCATTTAGAGGAGAGAGATCAAGCCCCTGGAAACTGTTTCCAGAGCTAGTCGCACACCATCTGCGAGTGTACCAAATTGTCTGATTCAGTGAATGGAACCGCTGCCCAAGTGTGATCATCATTGACATCATCTGCTCCCCGCTCCTTTCAGAAGCCCTCGGTTTCCTGTCTACTTAGCCTCCTTGTGTCTTTGCTCTCCGGTCACAGGGAAGGTTTCAGGTCTCCTCCAGAAGCCGACAGGGGATAAATCTTCAATCTTCTAACTGTAATGAACTGCTCGGATACAGGCTCACCTCTGACCCCAGGGCGGTTTCCTCCATTACTGCAAGACAGTTCCCTGGGCAATTCAGCCCCGCCTTGCCTATCAGTGCCCCTCCATGTCTACTTAAATGGCATTTCCAGACCTGAGGGCTTCGTCTGCTCACAGAGCTGATAAACCACCGGAGAAGGAAGCCAGGCCCGATGCCTGGAGCAGCCAGTGGGGGAATACTGATACCACACAGAAACATAGGGCCCACTAAGAGAGTGAGCAGCTCCCTACTACAAATCCTGGGACCTCAAGCCTCAGGCCTCCCAGGGAGGTGACCCTTGGGCTGTCAGGCCCTTACCAGTCTTGGTGCCTCTATGCTGTCCCCAAGTCCTATGAGCAGGTCTCAACATGACCCAGGATGGGACTCCAGGGGCAGGAAACCAGGCCCTTCCAATCTGAACATTTTGGCAAAGGGAATTGTGGGTATTTGTGCGCCTCCCTCCTCAACCTCTTCCTTGTGTGTGGCACCTAGATGAATGAAATATAAAATCCTTTTCTGTGATTTAGGCAAACCGTATTCCCAAAGTTCCAAAATGCACACATTATAAATAAAATATAAACTCCTCCAGATCTGACTGAAGCCTCTGCTCTCAGGGAACAGCACCAGAACGGCCATCATATGTGTCCCCTCCCGCTAGGTAAGCAGGGATCCCTGCGAGGCCTCAGGGTTACCGCAGGATCTCCTCGGGACAGGGGCATGTCCGTCCACAAGCAAGAAACCTCACAACACGCATCAGGAAAATTCCCTTAAAGCCATTCATCTGCTTCTAGAATGAGGCTCTCATCAGCTTATCCAAGGATCAACAAACCTTACGAATCATTTAACCCCAATTTAACATAAAATAATCAAGGTCCAGAGGTAGAAGGACTTTGTCCACGGTTATCAGCAGTATTCCAAGTGTAGGGTGAGAAACTCCAGTTTAAGAAAACTCTTGCCTAAAACTTCCAGGGTTCCAAACAGGACATGTCGCAAATGAGTACCCCTACCCTGAAAATATTCATAACGGACAGCCTTTAAAAAATATGTCTGTAAAGTGACATTCCGTGTAACACCTTAGCATCCTACCCAGGCTTCTTGGAGAACTGGCATATGGAACACCTAGGTGCCAAGTCAATCACAACCATTCTTCCTGACCGTGAGGTCTGAAGACTGAAGGCCAGCCGTGTCTGCTCCACCGCCTGCTTTTTAGCTGCCGCCCAATGCTAGCCTGCATCAATGCAGATTCGAGTGGATTTCCTCAAATCCACTGCCTTGCCCATAAAACACAGCATGAAGAAATCACAAACCCAGCCACATCGCAAGCAGCCACTGAGGGATGGAGTCAGTATCTCCCTATAGTTTTACACATTCCATTACCAATTTTTCACATCACAATTTGTGACACATGGGCTGACAGCAGGACAGAATATTAAAAATCAGGACCTCCTGGAGAAATCCGGGCCATACGGTTGCCATGCCGACACCCCACAATGCCAAACAGCGCCTCCAAGGTCCAGAAACAACTTGGCTGTCTTCGAATAGCCCAAGCGTTGTAAAGACAGAACTACCCCCTGGCCCAGGCTGTTATGCAGACCCTCCCTTTCCCAGCTCTGATCTCTGTTCCCCAGGGGAGTGATGATGACGTTTGTCTGAATTTTCTCAGCCTCTGTCGGCAGGGCTGACCACATCATCCGCTAAGAATTTGAAAATCCACATGCAGCGTCCTGGCCCAAGTACACAGAGACATGTTTTGGAATGGCAGGAAGACCTGTGAGAGGTTCACCACAGTGTTCGGTGGGGGGTGGGGGGGGGGGAGTAATCCTCAGCTGCACCTGCCCCTTTCAGGCTGGACATAGGGTTCATAGACGAACACGCATTCCCCCATCTCCTTAGGTATAGTCAGATTGGAGCTCGGGACAAAATATTGGCGGGGTGGGGGGGTGTGAGGCTTGGCTGCTCCCAGAGATGGGCAGAAATCCTACTTGATTTGCCCAACAAGTACTTAAATCTTGCTGTGTGCATCGATGCCGGGATGTAAGAAGCTTCCAGCATAGTCCCTGCATGATGGCATATATGACTAAGAACCCCCCTGGAGTGAAACAGCTCGGAAGGTAGGAAGAAAATGCAAGGCTGTGTCCAGGGAGGTGTGTGACTGGGGACCAAGGCCTACGAAACGGACACCCAGGGCTAAAATGTAAGAACAGAGAGGTAGCTGGCCATGCCTGTAGGTGGCCAGAGAACTGTCTGTGGCTCACTCCCGGGAAACCCCCATTCTCCCTCTCTTCTTGCACCCCTACTCCCTGGATCCCTGGGATCTACCTGATAACACTTCACACTTGAAACTTAGCTTCCAGTTCACTGCCCTTTCCTAATCTGCAGCAAAACAAACCCCAAGAGAACAAGGAGAGGGCCAGAGGGGATATTCACCGGAGCCCCCCATGACCTCCAATTTCCACCCCTCAAAACAAGTGCCATGTGCCCCCAGCAGAGCCCAGCACACCATTCCAGGGCTCTCAGTCTGAGCGGCCTTCCCGGCTGATCTCAGAAGGCAAGGAGGAGTGGGGAGAGGTCCAAGAGCAAGGTCAGGATTCTGAAGCGGAGACAAAGGTGAGAAGACCCAGCCTCAGGCTCTGCTCCAGCAGCAGTTTCTTCCCTTCGGTTCCCCCTCCTCTCCCTTCTCCCCTCCTCCTCCCCCTGCCAAGTCAGACCCTCCCCCTCCAGCTCAGACCCTCCTCCCAACACATCACCATAGCGAAGGACAGAACATCTGGCCAGCTCCCCTGTTTATGCTCAAGCCCACCACCTGAGACTGGCCCTCTCCGGGTGTGAGAACGGGGCAGCTTACGTGGGTCAGTGCTGTGCAAGCTCCCTGCAGGTCTGGGGCCACTACCGATTTGGTCACTTCCCACTCCAGCCTGTCAGTCTGCCCAGATCCCAACACTCTGGGGTCTTTACACTGGAGGCTTTATCCTCATCAGCCTTTCGGCCCAAACATCCTCAAGTCCTTCGGAAACAGTTCTTAGTGACAGGGACCCTCAGCCTAGAAGGGAACCCTCCACCTAATCAGACTCACCCCCAGAGAGTTCAAGCCGACAGGGATCTGGGAATTGAGGGCGGGGGCCGGAGATAAACCCATAAACCCCAAGGTCTCCTCAGGCAGCTGGGAAATATGGTTCTTGCAGGAGATTTTACTTCTTCCCGGTGGGTAACAAGACACGGCAACTGGGCAGGATGGGAATATGAGAACACTTCCACACTAACACCTCCACCATATACTCCTGGGGCTCATAGCTACCTTTGCACAAATATCCAGATTCTAGTCCATTTGGATGCAAGCCCTCCTGAACCTGCACCTCCCGGAGGAGTTCCACACCCCTCCCTCCCCAGGCCCAGATGCCCCATCAGAAAGGCCACCCACCCTCAGCCCCGCACTTTGCTCTCCCTCCCCCCGCTCCTCTTCTGGCCAGGGCTGCCCAGCCCAGCCGCTCGTCCGGGATGTCCGTGCCTCTCGCCCGCCACCGGCCCGATGGAAGAACACTGACCCGCCCGACGGAGCCTCTCCAGGGTCCCAGAGCCTCCCGCCCCCTCAGCCGGGTGCCCCTGCCACACCGAGCTGTCACCTGGGGCCCGGGCGAGGCGACAGGCATTTCTGCAGGCGGCGGGGGGGCTCCACCGCCTTAGCCAAGTCCCCCGATGCCTAGGGCCCCGGCAGCGCCGGTGAGGCTTAACCGCCGTGCCTGGGCCACCATAAGTGCTCACCTTGTTTCCTGTCATGGCTCTGATGTCGTGGGGCTGACCCTAGAGAGGGACCTCCCAGACCTAGAGCACGCTGCCAGCAAACGCACGATGGACCCTCGTGTTGGGGTGAGGGGCGCGTACAGAGACCTTTCCCGGACCCTGAGAACGCCGCGGGTGTTAGTGGGGAGTCTTCCGTGCCAAAGAAGCAAGTTTCAAGTTGATCCGTTGTTGAAATGAGGGCTAGCAAAGCCCCCCACCCCTAGACTTCTGCCTTACCCAGCGCCCACCCACGTCCTTTTACCCCCCCCAGGAGACTGGAGGTGCGCACGGCCACCTACGCGCTCAGCCACGAGGTTCCCGCTGCCAGGCCTCTCAAAAAAAGCTCACGGTCCAGCCGCCCTTCCGGGGCCGGGTGAGGACAGTCCCCGACCCCTGGCCCCGGCTCCGGCGGCGCAGTGCCGAGAGCCACGTTCCCAGTCGCGCGCGCACAGGGCCCACCAAACTTTAGCACTTTCTTCCCAGCCCCCACCCGCTGTCACCTCCCTCCATCTGCGCCCCGGCCCCACTGACCGACAGAGGTTGCCAACAACGGGCAGGGGATGCTCCAACAGATACAAAGCCGGCAGGGCGCGGCGCACGCCATGTTGCCCCGACCCCGCCCCTGCAGCCGCGCGGGGCTAAGGACGCGCGCCGCGGCTCCCCGGCCGGTCGCCCGGCGCGCAGGGCGTACTCACAATGAGCGGGATGGTGCGGTCCTCGCGGAGCTGCTCTGGCCTCCCGCCGTGAGCGCCGCCGAGGATGCTGCGTGGGCCCCGGTTACCGTAAGTGGTAAGTGCCCAGGATCAGGCTGGAGGTCAGGATGGCGATGGCGGGCTCGGCGCGGATCTCCTCGCCATATTGGGCGGGCGCCCCGGTGGGGGCCCGGCCGGCTTGCTCTCGGGGCCGGGGGGTGAGGGGCATGCCGCAGCCCCAGCTGTTTGTTTTCGCTCGCGCCTGGCTGCTCAGTCCTGCAGAGCAGAAAAGGGAGAGAGGTGGGGGGTGGGGGGTGATAGGGAGAGACAGGAGCGCGGAGCGATCCTCACGGTCCTAATGCCCTTCAGCCCCGAGCGCGCGCGTCCCCCGGGCGCCCATTCATTGGCGCGCAGAGCCCGCCCCGCGCTCCAGTCCCCTCCGGCTGCCCGGGCCGCGGCGCACCGGCAGGGGAGCGCGGCGGGTGCGAAGCGGCGCGAGAGCGAGGCCCGGCGAGCCAGACGCCCGCGGTGGAATGGCGACGGGCCAGAGACAGCCTCTGCTCCCACCGCTCAGCGCCCGAGCGCCCGGCGGCTGCCCCCGCGCGGCCCTGGTCGGTCCCGCCTACCTCCACCCACCCCCCGCCCGAGCGGCCCTGAGTCACCGGCTGGAGATGCGCGACCCCGGCCCGGGCCCGCGCCGCGAAGCTGCGGTTCTGGGCTGCACTCCGAACTGCGCTCTGGCGCGGGGCTTAAGGTGTGTTCGGCGGGGCCTTGGGAAGGGATGGCTGGGCGGGAGGAGAGTGGAGTTTGCACGGGAATCCTCCGCAGCCTGGGATTCCGAGCCGCGCGAGGGCCGGCCCCGAGGAGGGATTGGAAGCTGGTGCGCTTGACATTCGAGGAGAGCGAAGGGGACTCGACTCTGCTTCACAGCCAGCGAAAGAGGAATGGGGGTACAACCCCTCCACATCTTCCATTGGCCTGGGGCTCCCAGCTTTCATAAGGCTTCCCTCCAGACCCTTCCCCTGTCCCCTGGGCAACCGTGAGATATCATTACCACTATTTCACCAGGAAGAAAGGAGGCCAGAGAGGCTGGAAGATTGGCCAGAGGCCACGCGACTAATTAGTGGTCAGAGCCCAGTCTAGAAGCCGTCTCTCCTTTTGCACTTTCCACGAAGTGCAAACACCGTGGTGAGACAGGACACAGACATCACTGAGATTTTGCCCCAGGCCTGGAGGCATTGAGAATCCCGGGTGGAATGCTCTTGTCCAGAGCAGAAGGAAAGGTGGGCTAGGAGATCAGCACAGTGTCGGGCACAGAGCAGACTCGCAGTGAATAGATGTTGCCTAAACCAAGCAGGGATCACAGAGGAAGAAATATTGTATTCCAAGGGGGGTCTTAGAGAAGGCTTTTCATAGAAGTTGGATAAACTTTTGAATAAATTCTGAAGAGGGAGGGCAGGGGGAGGGCAGGGCGAGGTATTAGATTCATGAACAGCCAGAGCAAATGTCCAGAGGATGGCAGTCCTTGATGCGTTCAAGGCCAAGAGCTGCTTGGTATTGCTGGGGCCAGGATGCTGGAAAGGGCCTGGTGGGAGTCGACTTTGGGCAGGCTGGGCGCTTGAATGCCACGGTCAGAGTTAGCAGGGGGTTTAGTTCTTGCCGATGCTACTGGACACTGGCTCCCACATAGGGTCCTGACCCACTTAAGGTCCTGGCCTCTAAATGAAGCTGCCTTAGGAAAGGGGAAGTCAGACAGCTCATGCCTTCCTGCAACCACCCCCCATCAGCACCACTCATTTTCCCCTGTTTCTCCAGTGTGCGGGACTGAACCCTGCATGTAATAGATGCTTAGTGCATTTCTGTTGGAATGAAGTAAAATGAAGAAAGAAAGCCCTAATTAGTTTTTTGCTGCAGAAAGATCATCGTTGCAACTGCAGTGCCCGCCTCCTGACTCAGAAAACTAACCACGAGGACACATACACAAGTCCAAAAATGGCCCTACCAAGAATATGACCCTGGAAAGAGAATGTACAAAGAGAGTCCCACAAAGAGTAGCAGGGAGTCTAAGGCCCAAGCCAGGCAGCAGTCAGGGACAACAGGAGGTGGGTGTGAAGGGGCCACTGGCCCTGGAGCAGTGGGCCAGCCTTGCTGTCAGGTGTCTCCCCTGGGGAGTTTAATTAGGTTGCAGTAGGGGCCAGGATCCATTTCCACAGATAATGCCATAGCATTATCCACTGCCAAGCCATAACCTGGTTTCCATGGGAGCCATGGGGTTGACCCGGTAGTCATGTCCTCTGTGGGAAGCCAAGGAAAGTTTGTTGCTTAAGGGTCAGGCCCACGGGCATCTCCAAACAACAAGAAAACATAAGGAAACTGCCCTTCTGGTGTCCCCACTTCCACACAGGCTCTCAGGTCAACCAGGCGGAAAGACTTGGGCAATGGCCCTCTGCTGCCATAGGCTGCCTCCCTCAGCCCAGCCTGGCCTGTGCATGTCTAGTTGCCTTTGGTCTTGAGAAAACCAGGTGAGAGGTTGTGGGATCCAAAGACATCGCACCAACCCCTAGTGAGAAGCTCCAAACTCACGCCTAGGCCTGGGGAATGAAGCTAGAACCCAGAATCAGGCGGATGGGGTTTCTGATGGCTCTAGAAGGAGGGCTGTATGAGGAGAGGGAGGCAAGGAGGATGCAGAATTTGGCAGGATTTCTACATGTCTCACCTCTTCCTCTCCAGGGGTCAGTGGTGAGGATGCTACACCTCTGAAGCAATTGTCACTTGTAGCTCTGTCCCAAAAAGAAGGCTGTTTCCCTGCCCCCCGCCCCCGCTCCACCCACCACCAGGAAAACCCAATAGAGACATCGCCTCTCTGGGTGATGTTAGACTTCAGAGCCAGCCCTTCCTTAGATGGACATAATAAACTTCCCACGGTGGTGGGGCGGGTGGGGTGGGGGATAGGGAGGCGGGTCACGACCATGCTCATTTGGCCAACAGAAATTTGACGTAGGCGGAGGCTAAGCGATGGGCCGGAAGCCACAGCACACTGGGAAGGGCCGGGAGCTAGCACCTGCCACCTCAGCTACAGCCCGTGGTCTTGCTTCCAGATCTGGATCCTAAATAGGTGCGGGCCGAGGCTCAGCCCTCCATGAGATGGATTTCAGTGTTCAGAGATAACAGTAAGCATTGTTTCCTCTCTGGTCCTAGGAATGGATTCCAACAGAACCCTAGAATCAAAGCAACACCTAAGAGACTTGGTGTTGCCCAACACGCACTGAACTTGGAAAACAAGAGTGATAATGATAGCTGCAGTTCACTGGGTACCCACCAGGTGCCGGCCCCTCACACACGTGATCTCTGGAGCACCCACAACCCGCGTGCCGGGACTTGGTGACACTCTCGATTGCCAAAGGGCCATACAGCAGGTAAGAGGTGGGGCTGGGTTTGAGTCCATTCTCCATGCTACTGCCTGGGTCCCAGTACAGGGCTTCTGAGCACACTGGGGAGTCTGTAGGGTGGTCAGAAGTTCTGTACGCAGGGACCTTACTTCCCCGCTGGGGCCTCCATTTTCTCCTCCGGAAAAGGAGGCGTGCGGGGAGATGACCTCTGAGGTCCCTCTAACTGTGCCCTTTTTGGACTTCTGGTTCCTTGGACAGTTTCTCCCTTGTGGCATTACTCTCCGGCATGGTCCCTGTCTCTTTGAAAGCGGGCAAAGCCAGCACTCAGGTAAGCTGGGAAAGCCGTGTGCCCCTGGCGCTCCCAGAGGCCCCAGGGAACTCTGCCCGTGTACATTTGATGTCAGGGTGGATAACAGAGGGGGGAAAGGGAGTAGAGTTCAGGTGAGAGCCTAGCTCTGGAGTCGGACAACCTGCATTCAAATGCCGGTTCTGTCACATATTAGGAGAGTGGTTTGGGCAAACTCTTACCCCAGCCCCCCCCCACCCCCACCCCAGGCCTTAGGCACTGCTGCTGGCTGCTGGGGCGAGGGGCTCGTGCAGGAGATTGCTCAGCAGGGCTACGAAGAACAGACCCCAGAGAGGCCGAACAACGATGACCCTCCTGCCCCACCAGCGCATGCCTGCCCACCTCTTCCGAGCCTGTGCTGAGCGGCCTGGAGAGGCCGCGTGCAGGGCGCCCCAGCTGCGTCCATTCTCGCCAGCATACCCAGTATCCTTGAGAGTCAGTGGGCTTAGAAGCCTCTTGCCCTGTCTGCAGCTGCAGCGGGGACTCAGACGGTGGGCGAGAGAGACTGGTTAGACCCCCGTGTCTGCTCTAAGCAGGAAAGGAGGCAGAGACAGGGGACAGAACGTGTGTGACCACGCAACAGGCACGGTGCCGAAGCCTGATCACAGAAAACTCACAATGACCCCACAAGGAAGGCAGGACCCTCTTTGGGCCGGTGCCTTCGGAGGTCACCCAGCGATCAGTGGCACATGTGCTGCCCACTGCCAGCTGGCCACACTCAAGGCACCGCTGTACCTGAGGGAATGTTATTTCTAAGTCTCCATAAACCATCAAGGAGAGGACCTGGCTGTTTGAGAGGAACTCCATCATCATTCTCCTGTTTGGCTTTTCACTGTGTTTTCTGCCCCTGGACCATAAGCTGCATGAGGGCAGGAGTCCTCGTCCTGTTCACCATGGTCTCCCCAGTCCTTAGAACAGCGCTTGGCACGTAGCCGCACGTACACGCTCATTAAGTACGGGTTGATGGGAGGGAGGGACGTAGTAGCTGAATGCAGCCTGCAGTTCTCTCTTGAGTCCGGCACCTGAGAGACGATGCAGGACTAGAGCCCAGAGAAAGGAAGCGACTTGGCTGGGGTCAGTGCGGGCCAGCGGAGTGAGTAACCTGGGCTGCCCAACAGGGCTTCCTCGGGAGTGCTGCCCCACCCTGCAATCACGGTGACGGGGGCCGAACGCTGCTGCGCCGGGATGGAGGGGTGAGAGGTCCTCTGTGGTTCCATCAGAAGCTGGGAGGAGTGACCCTGGTTCTGGGGGTTAACTGCAGGAACTCCGAATATTATTACTGATCATGGAATGAGCCAGCTGTTGCATTTGGGAATAATAAGATTGCAGAGGCTGAGGGCTAATTAGAAATGTGTCAGATGCTTTTTCTTAACAGCAAGGAATTTCTACAAAGGAGAGATGCATAAGTAAAGCCAGTTGGTCAGCAGAATCGGTCCCGGAGGCAGAGCCCTTTCCAAGGCTTCCCTGACCTTCCCCATCTCTTATCACGTTCTCCTTCAGTCCTTCTCTCTCTGCGCGGCTTCTAGGGAGATGAGTGGCAAAGGTCCTCAGAGCAGAACAGATGGCCCCAAATGCCAGGGCAGTCCTTGTCACATGCCCGTCTCTCACCCTTGAATGGGAATTCCTCTGAGCAGGGCCTGGCAGCCTTCTTTTGTGTCACCAGTTTCTAGCACAGTATTTGGGCATCACGGCAGCACTCCCTGAATATCTGTGCAGTGAGTGAAGGAGTGAATAAATACCTAGGGTGGCCGGCTGCTGCTACTCCCTCTTCTGTTGCACGAAAATGCAATAAGCCCGCTCCACGGTAAAGCCTGTTTACCCATTGCGGGGGGCGCGGGGGTGTTCCCAGTCCCTTCCTTTCCTGCTTGAGGGCTCACCATGCCAGGCAATTCTACGTTCCAGGGATACAAAAATGAACAAAAGCTGATCACAGCTTCCAAGGAGCCCAGTAACTGACCATGGGGAGATACACATAGATCGTCACAAGACGATATAATGGAACTCTATAGAAGCACAAAGGGGGGTTTCTTCAAGTAAGAAGTCATCTGAGAGCTGTGTTCAAGGACAAGCAGGTAGGCAAGAGGTGGAAGAGCATTCTGGGAAGAGGAAGAGGCAAACAAAGGGCGCTAAGATGTGCAAGTGAATGGCAGCACAGGAAACGGTGAGGGGGTTGGGTGTACGGGGGAGGGGGTGGTGATGGCAATGAGGTTAGAGGGGTAGGCGTTGACCAGTTAACAGACGTCTTCCAGGTCTTTATAGGAAATTTGAACTTACTCTGGTAAGCTGTGGGAAACCATCCAAGATTCTAAAACAGGGAGTGACATGATCAGGTATACATTTTAGTGAGGAGGCTGGAGACTAGTGGCACCGGATCACAATGATACTGCAATAGTCCAAGCAAGCAGTGCTGTGGGCCTGGACTAGGGCAGAAACCCTGGAGGAGAGACTCAAAGGATTTGGAGATCAGCTAGAAGTGGGGATAGAGAAAGAAATTAAGAACAGCATGTACATTTCTAGTGTAGGAGCCAAGTGCTTTGGTGTAAGGTAACCAACCATTAACTGAAATGGGCAGTGTGGGAGGAGCAGATTTGGGAGGTATGTTCAACTGAACTTGATTTCTCTGTGGTCTGTCCAGAAAGGCAGCCGTAAATCCAGGTCTGGTGCTTAGGAAGAAGAGTGAAAGAAGCTGGTCACGTAGAGAGGAGAAAACCAGAAACACAACTGGGGCATTGCTGGGTGGCTGCCCATGTGCCCGGCACCTAGGCATAGGAGAGGACCATGTGCGTGAGATTAGGACTTCTGGATCCCTCGGGTGAAAATGATGCCACGGAGAACTGACAGTTTTTTCTGCTTCCGTTGGATGCCCTGTTTCAAGACCCCGGGCCCAAGCTCTTGGGAATGCTCATTTCTTTTTCAAGAACCCCATCACCTGGTGGATATTAGGATGGACCCCCAGACTTAGGGCTGGAGCAAAATTTGGCTCAGAGATTACGCAGTAAGACCAGAGAGAATTTGAAGTGAAAAAGCCCTGCTCCTGCAGCTTCTTTAGTCTAATTGTGCCTGCTGTTGATACCTCCATTTTCCCTGGGAAACTGGGGGTGGGGGGGGAGTGGGGGGTGGAAATTAAGGGAATGTTCCTGGGATTGGTACATATTTTGAAGCTCTCAGCAAGGCTGAAAATATCCATCGATATATTTTGAAGTGTAATTTCCACTCCCTTACCAGCCAAAATAATTGAACAGGAAGAAAAAGCTGTTAATGCAGGAGGCGTGTAACATCAGATCCACATTGCCTGGAAATTTACCATTTCAAAGCAATTGAGGGTTTTTACTGCCAGTGTTTACAGTCATACATGTCCCCTCTCTCTGAAGCCATCAAAAGGCCCATCAATCTGGCTTGGACACTGAAATCGTTCACAATGTCTGGAGCGAATGTCAAAGCAGAGAGTATTTTTAAAAATTATGCTGCCCTTTTGTCAGCATATACATCTTGGGGCGTCTCTTCCTGGGAGGCGGGGTAAACAGTAGGACTGTCTGTGCTCATGGATCCAGTGGTGCCAGAGCGCCATAGTGGCATGGCCAGGCACACCTCCACACGCCCCTTGGCGTCTCTGACCTAGGGTCCGTGCACGGGCTGTCCTCTTATTTGACTCTGGGTGGGCAGGCCTCCCTCTTGCCCAACAAAAAGTGCCTGCCTCTGCCTCTGCCTCCAGCTCGATGACACAAGGTCTGAGGGATGCAGGTTCCTCAGTAGAGGAGCCAGCTGCCCCTCACAGCCTCTGCCCAGCTCAGCGGGACAGACAACAGACAGTAGACTTTGCAGACTTTTGTTTTCTGTCTGCTGCCAATGCCTGTGTGTGTGTGTGTGTGTGTGTGTGTGTGTACACGTGCATGCACATATGCGTGCTATTTTTCAGTGTGAAATTTGACTTTGGGGTTTTCCCGGAAATGACTGATTTCTTTCCCTATATTTGTGTCCAATACAGGAAATTGCTAAATCCGTGCCCCACCATTTGTCTTTCATTTCAGAATCCGTATCTTTCCAGAGGCCACTACCTAAAAAGTGCCATTAGCTCACTTGGTGACCCTGGAGAAGTCACTTTCTGGGCCTCTTCTCATGTTTGAAGTGAGGCTTTGGTACAAAGGGTCTTGGAAGGTCCTTTCTAGTGCTAGCATTTTAAGACTCTATTATTATTTTTTAATGTGTATGTACTTTTGAGAGAGACAGAGCATGAGTGGGGGAGGGGTAGAGAGAAAGGGAGACAGAGAATCTGAAGCAGGCTCCAGGCTCTGAGCGAGACCATGACCTGAGCCGATGTCAGATGCTTACCCGACTGAGCTACCCAGGCGCCCCAGTTATTTGAATATTTTAAACCATTCCTGCCCCAGCAAGAATTATTGGCCATAAACCGAGATACAATTTTCTTTATTATCGTTTAGTCCCTCCACACACATTACATACATATACATCCAGTTTCAAATGTTCCATTGGATCAAAAATCTAAAAACTACTAGATTAACAGCAGACCTAAAAAGGAGAAGTTAGAAGAATGTGCAAGAAATTGGAACATCCAGGATGCCCGAAGAGGGAACTTCAGAACAGAAGTGGGAGACTTTTCATCACACGTTCTTTTGTATCTTTTGCATTTTTTGCCACATGCATTTATTACCTCTTCAGTTTTAACATTTTTTTTAAAGCAAGAGTCTTCCTTTCTCTTTCTTCTACCACAGGCCTCTTTGCAGCTTAGTTCCTGGGCGTAGAGGAGACCATGACGGACCGGCGTCATGCCCTGGAAGAGCCACCCCTCAGCCCAGGCCCTGCCCAACACCAAGTCCCAGCCCTCCAGCTGGGTTGGCCGACAGCCCTGCCCCCCCCACCCCCCGGCTGCCCCATGCGCGTGGAAGGGTTCTGTGGGTGCGCACCACAGCTGGCTGCCCTTGCT